GTGGATCTCGTGTGTGGACTGTTCCCGGCTAAGGTTGATGGTGGGGTGGAAATTGTTGAAATCCCTGTGGAATTCTTCCCGGGTCTTCTTCCCGGGTCCATATGAAGAAGATGTCATCAATGAAGCGTAAGTAGAGCAAGGGTGCTGGGGATAAGAGCTGAGGAAACATTGTTCAAGGTCAGCCATGAAGATGTTGGCACATTGTGGGGCTCTGCGGGTATACATGGCTGTGCCGCTGACTTGAAGATATAAATTGTCCCAAACTGGAAATCGTTGTGGGTGAGGACAAAGCAGGTTCTAGTATTGCTGAACTGATTAGTATTTCAAGCAGCTTCCACAGTTCTTACTGATATAAAACCTTGGCTAATTCTCAGTGACGCCCGTTGTCATCAGTCATAACACATCTTGTATTTCGAATACCTCTTCTCTAGTATAGCTGGCAAAAATATTATCTTACATCACTGAAGATTTCATATCAAAACTGAACTGACACATCTTTTGCAGATTTATGTGAGACTACTGTAAGTCCCATTTTTCTTTCACTTATAAAAAATGAGAGCATCTTATCGACCTAGTGTATATGTGAGTGTTCACACATGCCTGTATGTGTGTGTGAGAGCCTAGATTTGTTAGGCCAATGTGTCAAAGTCTAACAAATCCATTCCAGCAAGGAGTTTTGTTAAATATGGGTTGCTTTGATCTATCTATATTGACTTCTGTGAAAAGCTAAGCAGATTTGCCCATGAAAGCCTGACATAAGCTTTCCGGGAGGATGTCAGACCTACTATGTAATGCATATTATTCATTTCTCAATATGCAACAATGCAAATTGCCATGTGGAGCCAGGATGTACAAAATCTACAAGGAAAGCAAGAATACACATTTTCTCTGGTGCTAGCTTCTAAGTGTACTGGGTGAGTCTCTGATGTACACATCCTTGATTCTTCTTCCTCCTTAGGCCCACTCTAAAACGGAATGAAGCATCATTGAAATGTGGCTACCAATGCGGTATCTGACCTGGGTCACACACGGAGACCGGGGACATATACAGCAAACACAACCTTGCTACATTCCAAGATGTCAGGACTAGAATGTTTGGGGGCATGAGAAATTTTTGTATTTCGAGCTGTGCTCACAAGTGACTTTTAAGTGATTATTAACTGGGGCCAAATACATGAGTCAGAATCTCTAAGGGTATGTCTACACTACCCCGCTAGTTTGAACTAGCGGGGTAATGTAGGCATACCGCACTTGCAAATGAAGCCCGGGATTTGAATTTCCCAGGCTTCATTTGCATAAGCGGGGAGCCGCCATTTTTCTAGGGGTATGTCTACACTACCCCGCTAGTTCGAACTAGCGGGGTAATGTAGGCATACCGCACTTGCAAATGAAGCCCGGGATTTCAATTTCCCGGGTTTCATTTGCATAAACTGGGCGCCGCCATTTTTAAATCCCTGCTCGTTCGAACCCCGTGCCGCATGTAGCCACGCGGCACGGGGTTCGAACGAGCAGGGATTTAAAAATGGTGGCGCCCAGCTTATGCAAATGAAGCCCGGGAAATTCAAATCCCGGGCTTCATTTGCAAGTGCGGTATGCCTACATTACCCTCCTAGTTCGAACTAGGAGGGTAGTGTAGACATACCCTAAGACTGTCAGCGCTTTGAGCCAGAGGCTGTGTCTGTACTATACCAAGCACAACAGGCACCCAGCCTAGCGCGTGTCTTCAAGGTGTCTTGGAGGTAAAACAAATACAAACAAATAACAATAATAATAATGAAAGCAGCATTGGGTAATGAGGGGCAGAGACTGCACGGGGGTAACTGTGCATGAAAATCAATACCCTAGGGCTCAGTGAATACTGAACAAGAGGTAAGGCTGAACAAAGTTTGTACAAAATATCTTTTGCAGAGAAAAGCGCAGATTCTATGTCCCCCAAATGTTCTGCAAATTTGTGCTGGTTTTGCCAGATTGTTTTGATAGAGAAATGGGTTAAAAAAAATTGAACTACTGATTATTAGTTTAAAATTTCCTTAGTTAAAAAAATATCCAACTAAAAATCCAACCAAACCCAAACATTTTTAACATTTCCATTTGCCAAAAATTTCAACAAAACTTCTTTTCCAATTTGCTTGGAGTTGCCAAGATTTTAGAGATGGATCAGAAAACACATGTTATACTCCTAAGGCCCAATGCTGCACTCTGTGAATCAACAATACTACTCCCATTATCTTCAGTGTGTGAAGGACTGGGTCCTACAGAGAGAGTGTGTGTGTATGCTGAACACAAGAACCAAGAAAAACATCGCATCTGTGCTAGTGGCTGGGTTAATGCAGCTAAATGCAGCTTTATGCAGACTTCCTATAACACAACGTCATTTCGGCCAGCACCACACAGGGTGAATTTTTCTAATCCTCTGCTTATGCACTGCTGACTCAGCAGCCTCTGTCTTCTTACGGCATCTAATAACAATATTGACCTTTTTCGGATATCAAACTTGTCTGATTAAATCCTAAGGTCTTAACTGACTTTGCACACTGACAGTTTGCAGAGTGGAGCACATGTTCATGTATAATTCATCTCCGATCAGCTTTTCCAGACATTGAATATTTATCAGCCTTTTCATAACAAGTTACATTCCCTCGCCTCCCCATTTTCACTGCAGGTCTATGTGGAAGCAAATGAAATCTGCAAGCAAATAAACCAGTAGGCTTTACTCGTAAGCATCCTCCTTCTTTCACACTTCTCAGGGGAAGGGAAGGAGTTGGCTGGAGCTGGAATTTTCATAGACTCCTAAGGCAATTTGGCACCCAGTGTCAAACTTTTCTGCAGCTTTTATTGACCTTGTTTTAGATATTCTCCTTCACACCCTTGCCCTGCCTCATCCATAAACACCCATGAAACTGTTGGACACAGAAGTGTCTTCCGCTATGTCTATTCTGTAGCCTTCTTGTGGAAAAGCATATGCAAATGAAGCACGGCATGGAATATTGCCGTGCTTCATTTGCATAAGTAATGAGCAGCCGTTTTTGCGCAAGAGGTACAGTATAGACGTAGCCTTGGTGAAGTATGAGCCATGCAAAGGACAAGTGGGTGAATGACTGACATGGCCTTTCATGAGAGGAAACAGAGAGAGAGAGATGTTGATGATTAAATTATCCAGCTTCCCTTCTGTAAACCCTACTTTATCTTCTTCTCAGATACCCACCCACTGGAGGGAACCTATGGCACTGTCTCTGCCCAAACCACAGGCAACACCTCTCCCTCTCTGCTGGGTGAAGGCAGAGGGAAAAGGTGTCATTCAGAGTGGTAAGGCTCCTCACTGCAGGGAAAACGGGAATCTGAGGTGATTTGTCACCACACTAAAGAGGCAGGCAGTGCTACGGTCAGTTAAGGCAGCTCTCCTGCACAGGCCAGGCTGGGGAGGTATGACCTCTATGGAGGTATGACCTCTATGGAGCTTATGCACCTCTTGTTTTCATGGCTCTGTCAGTACAAACTGTGAGCCCGTTGTGGGTCTCTGCAAAGGCAAATGTCACCAGCCTTTTGGCAGAGGGCTAACAAAACAAGTCCCTCTGCACTCAGGGGTTCCCTGCCTTGAAGTTTATTTCTGGCTGTGCCCACAAAAGCTCATGATCCCATCTACATGTTTTGTTAGTCTATAAAGTGCTACCAGACCATTTGTTGTTTTTTTTCTGTAACAGACTAACTCGGCTACCCCCTGAAGCAGCTGCTACTGTGAACTTTGCTTTGCCCACTCTGCACTGATGCTGTTTGCTGAAACTGGGGCTAGATATAAGCTGAGACCACCCACCCACTTGTTTTGCCTTCCACGGAGCACATGGAAGTAGTGGCACAAAATAAAGTGACACTGCCAGAGAACTGCAACCCAGAGCACTGCAGAATATGGCCCTGACCGGCCCTCAACAAGCTGGGCTTTTAAATCAGTATATACAATTCTCTGGTATGTAAGGAGGAACAAAGCAAGCTTCATCTCCAAGCTGGTTTCTCCATGGCTTCTCCACTGTGCAACAAGCAAGTTAAATGCTGCTAGTGCAGCCAGGATTCAGATTGTCTGTTGTGAATGTGAAAACCCAGTGCTGCTGAGGAGATACACTCACGCCAGCCAGGGTCCTTGCTGCTGCTCACATTGCTAAAGTACTCAGGTCGCTGGAATCTGTCAACAAAAGGCAGGGACAAAGCCAAGGGGAATATAGAGCTGCCCTCCACAAACCAGTGAGGGCAGTTTAATCCAGGTCTCTGCCTTGCACCTTGTGAAATATGAGAGCCTGGCACAGCATGCATAGATGTTGGAGCACAAACACATCTCTTCTCCCTGGGTATGTCTACACTACCACCCTAGTTCGAACTAGGGTGGTAGTGTAGACATGCCCCCTGTGATTAGTCCTCTGCTGAGAACAGCAGGGGGAAATGAGAATGTCTTGTGCTTGGGGGATGAATACTTTGGCAAAACCCATGGCTGGTTCAGAGGCCACTCACAGATGAATGGTGGTGCCTTCGCAAGCCTGCCCACTGTTTATCAAAATCAGCAGTGCCCCAGGGAAGCCATCCCTAGCCCAAATGCAGCCTCCACAAGTTTTCTTTGTTAAGGCTGGGCTCTGACAGCTGCTAGCCTGAACACCACGCGAGCTGGCTCTGCAGCTCCATGGCCTGCCACTTGCATTGCTGCCAGCTCTTGTGACTGTATACTCAGTAGTTTGTGTTTTTCTACAGCCCCAGCTCCTGCAGTCAAGTGATTATTTGAGAATCTCAGTTTTCATCTGGGTCACAAAAGCCAGTTCTGAGCCCTGGTGGCTGCAGAGAGAAAGCTGAAGGGGTTCGCGATTGCAGACAGAAGGCTGAAAAACCAGAAGACAAACAAGAACTCCAACCTGACTCATTTTTCAACCTCATGGTTGGCTGAATGCTGCATGAGAATGGATCTGGCTACTGGTCTCTCCCTGCCCTCCCTCCCCGCAACACCCTGTGAGCAGGCCACACACCTTATTCTCATGCGGTATCTCATATGCTGACGTGAATTTCTTCATCGCTGGCTGAGCCAGCACCTGGAACCGGTGTCGGAACTGAGTCAGCACCATGCGATCTGCGTAACCTGGAAGAGACAGAGAGGAGTCGGATACAGACTTCAGAGGGGGATGCTGCACATTAGCTAATACATGAATTAGAACAGGGATGATGCTATAGACCTCTGAGGAACACAAAACACTGGGAGAAAATTCTTCTCCTCCTGAGCTGGGTAAGGAGGGAGCAGCAGCGTACCTGGGGTGCATGGTGGAGCAGCGGGGGGAGAACAGCACAACTCACGGTTAATGTCCTGCACCTGGATTCAGGGGAGCTGCGTTTGATCCTGCGCTCTGCAAGTCTCTGAATCTCTCCATACCTCGCTCCTGCTGTATGGGGACTGACCGAAGGGTCTTTCTCCCCCAGTTTGTCAGCCTCATCTGTTTCACTGTAAACTCACACTCCCTTGACTGTTTCTTTCTAGGTGTGTGTACAACCACCAACACAACAGGGCCCCAGAGTCAGAGGAGCTTCTAGGTACTACTGCAGTACAACCTGCCTTCATTCAGCCAAACCTACACTCTGTGCTAATGTGAACTCGTTTACAAGGTGCCCATGTCAAATATATGCAAGAGCTTTCCTCAGCTCTGTAGGGGACTGCAGCTCCTGAGTAGGCAGCACCACACTTGGAGGTGAAGGGGTCCTGGGGAACCTCAGTCTGGGGTGAAGGAGCTAGGAACCATGGCAAATCCGCCTCCTTCCCACGGTTTTGTACCTTGAGAAGTGGCTAGTCAGGAGAAGGCATGAGGAGCTAGTCATTTAGTAGCCTTCCATGTATTAGTATCTGCAAGTCTAGAGCTAAGGAAACACAGGCTAAAAAATTCAGAGCTACCACACAGTGTAGGCTTGCCGTACCGATCCTGTACAGACGTAATGCATCTAATAGCTGGGCTCCAGACAACTGAACTCTCAGGGTTGGTACGTCCAAAGTGAGCTCTGCTTCTCCTGTGAGGCAGGGTGGCTTCCCATCTGTGCCATCCACTCCCGCTCTTGGAACGAGACAATGGACAAAGTGTATCTGGGACCGTTTGACCAGATTTGTCAGCGCATCCTGTGGTAGCAATAAAAGCTAAATGAGATTCATCTGAGGTGGGGGCTGAAGTAACGGAAAACAAGAATTCCCTTTCCACCTGCTGAGGGGCTTTTCAGCCGCACACAAGGAGTGGCTTTAAATAATTAGCTGTTGGAAACAGAAGTAGCCAATGGAGAAAAATGGCACCAAATCGGTGTTGGTGCTTGATTAGATTGTCAGCAACTTGAGTTATGGTGTTTGCACAATGCCCAGTACCACAGAGACAGAGATCCCACCAAGGCATCCAGATAGAAACAGCCATGTGCCCGATGTTCTAAAGCAGGGGCGGGCAAAAGGGCCTCTGTGGGCTGGATTTGGACCACCAAGCGAGTTGATCTGGCCTGCGGAGACCCTGTCACTCCCCTGCCCCCAAGCCAATTAGGGCCTTGGGAGGGAAGCGCATGAAACTTCCTCCCATCCTGAGAGGAGCACGCTGCACTTCAAAGAACTACGTGCTGCTCGCAGGGCAGGGAGGAGACATCATGCGCTCCCCCACCCCCAAGCCCTGTTTGGCCTGGAGGCGAAAGCAGAGCAGAATGTTTCCTCCTCCCTCCCTCTCCCGGCCCTGCGAGGAGCGTATGGCACATCAAAGTGCTACACACTCCTCACAGGGCGGGAGGAGGGTTCGAGTGCTTCCCTATTCCTAGGCCCTGATTGGCCCAAAGACTCCTCCCACCCAACCCCCGCCCTGTGAGGAGTATGCGGCAAGGCGCAGCACAAGTGATGTGGGTACCTAGTGGGAAGGGGGGGCAAAGTGGCTCCCCAACCCCCAGACAAATTATGGTGTGTGGATGGGGTAGCCCAGAAGCATCCTGGCCCCGCCCCTTCTGGTTTAGGCCCTGCCCCTTCCAGGCAGCCAGGTGGCATGTCAAAACTTTGAAGTGGCCCCCAGCCAAAAATTATCGCCCACCCCTGTTCTAAAGGCACCTTGACCCACCCCTTAACCTATGTGAGAGCACCAAATCTCTGTCACTCACCATCTGAAGTTTGATCTGAGCACACACAGATCTCTTCTTCACTGCTGCAAAGCTGCTGGCGAACGTCTTCCTCACGCAACCCGTGCGCTGCAAAGCCTGCTGGGAGTGCCCCTCCAGACCTGCCACCTCTCG